GAACGCATTAAAACTCGCCTTCCTTACGGGTTTTGAGTCGCCAATATATTAATTACATTTTTCAAGGTAATCAAAATCAAATCAATCTTTAATACAAGCTCTCTGAATCGAGAGAGGAATCTTGTGGGTGGATTGCTCCTGCTCCAACTATAATCTCACCACGATAGCTCCTGGGCTATAGGCCTCTATCGGGTGTCCACACACTTGTACTTTAGTAGGGGTATTTCTGGTAATAATAATGCGGCACGATAAAATCGACGATAATAAAACATACGACACACAATTAAAGAATTACCTGTGTCATGGGGACAATGAGGGACACCAACAGCCAAACGAAAATAACTAGCAGCATTGCTGGTACTTACAGTTGTATTCTGCTACATTTTGCTCTCCTACTTATATTCCTTACTTTTCCATTTGATCTTCAGGGATGTCCCCCTTCTTCCGCCGCTGATTTTTCTCCAACCGCTCCTCCGACTAGCTGCTGATGCGTACCACGAAATTCGGGAGCGTTGTAGCTCGATAACGTCAAATTAATTCAACGCTCAGCCCCTTGCACTGACGCCGCTGACGCTTGTTCTAGTTATTAGGATATAAATTTATCATATTCTTGGAATTTTTTAACATCCATACTTCTCACGACATAGTCAGATGTCATAGTTCAAATCTCATCCCAGACAAGCCACAAATAACCCAAGAGTGTAAAAGACTATAATATTAAAAAAAAAACTTGGAGGGTGGTGTACAAGACACGACCGCATTGTTGACGTAGGACTACGAAATTTTTGTTCGATTTTCTAGTTTGTTGTTTCGGATATTATTTTGTAATTAAGTGAGTTATTAACAACTATTTTGTAGAAAGTTGTGGTGGCCCTGAATTGTGATGGTTTCTTTATGGCAAGCTTTGCTATAATCACTGGACCTCGTGGTTATTCGCGTTTATACATATCACTTGCGCAGGAAATCAGTTTGGCACGGCATTTGTGACCTGCATACCTTCCAGTAGCATGAAACAGGTCAAAATTTGCGCAAATCTGTCAATAAATTTGTTTGTCTTGCATTTGCTTATAGCAAAATACTGAACTTTTCGGGAACATTCACGCCAAAGAACTCAACAACACACTTTTTGTTACATGTCTCATGCATGTAACAAATTAAATTTTGTTTGCTTTTCTTTTTGGACACGCCGGTAAAGTACACAGACTCCTCCCATCATGAGTAGTTTGCTATCAAGTAGCAACACTGCCTCCTCTCCTTTTGTACTATCTGTACTTTAAGTCTATACTCTATGTACTCTGTATTATTTAACGGTTCGGACGATTTCGAAGATGTCGCGTAGCAGGAGAATGCAACGATGAGTGTTTCTCAGTTTATGGAAGTGAAACGGAATAAATATAACCCACCGATAAGACTACAAATAGAACATAATTTAGCTCCCTAACAAATTATTTGATTTTTGTATCATTTTGATGTATTTAGTGACAAATTGAATGGGTAAATCATGGGTTACTCTATATAAATTCTATTCCAACTCTTTTCGGAAATAAACTTGGTGGCCCTAAAAAGGGTCATTTTGTTACGTTGGTGATAAGTTTTAACCCCTGAAACCGTTCAGAGTGCGTCCCTGTCGCTTCAGAGTGTAGACGACATCCATGGCCGTGACGGTTTTGCGCTTGGCGTGTTCAGTGTAAGTGACGGCATCACGGATTTTTCTAGGAACACCTTAAGTACACCTTAGGTTTCTTCGTAGATATAACCGTAAATACGCTTGACACCACCACGTAGAGCCAGACGACGGATGGCAGGCTTGGTAATACCCTGGATTTTAACACGCAGAACCTTCCGATGACCCTTGGCGCCTTCTTTTCCAAGATCTTTGTCTCCCTTGCCACGACCAGTCATTGTTGCATGATGTTTGTCGTTGAACGGGTCAATCGAAACTAAGCTAAAAGCGTAGTTAGCAACCTCTTATATAGACAACCAGCTCAATATAGACAACAGTCATGATGATGCAGCTTTGTCGATATTGGGAAATTCTGCGTGATAACATCCAGGGCCTGCCATCCATCGTTTGGCTCGACGTGGAGGTGTCAAGTGGTGTGCTGAAGGTGTTCCTAGAAATTATGATCCGTGATGCCGTCACCTGTACTGAACACGCCAAGCGCAAAACCGTCACGGCCATGGATGTCGTCTACGATCTGAAGCGACAGGGACGCACTCTGTATGGTTTCGGAGGTTAAAACTTATCACCAACGTAACATTGGTGGCCCTCACTCAGGTAAGCGTAATTACCTGGGTTCAATCCCAGTCGGTGCCACGTGGATGTTCTGAGGCATAACATCTCTGATCACGCTTTCCTTCGGAAGGGAAGTAAAGCCGTTGGTCCCCGGTTCATGAGTTGATGGGTCGATAGCTAGGGTTCAGGTGTGGGTAGCATTGGTGCTCAGCACAGAAAACAAATCCAAGGAAAAAAAAAAACGGAGAGCATTTTGTGTGGTCGTTGGGGGCGTGTGGTTCTGAATTGGCAGCAAAATGTTCCGCAATTGCATCCTCCCTATCCGTACACGCCCGAAGATCGGAGGCGAATGTCACTTCGACTTGTTTCATCTGATGACTGTGTTGGGGAAGCAGCATATGCATGTACGTAATTGGTGGATTTGTTAGTTATTTTGAAGCTTTTGGACAATGCTTGAAATTGACCACTTTTTCAATAGTTTCAATTTGGAAACCAGCAGTCAAAAACATTGTTATCGATGCGTAGAAATGTTTCTGATCGATTGGTGATAAAATTTTTGAAATTGGTCCAGGGGTAGCTAAGTTATTAACGTTCAAAATCTTTCATAATTTCATTTTTCGGTTTTCATAAAGTGTACCCCCATCTTCCCGAAAGACGTAGTCCTACGTCAAAAGTAGAAGGGTCTGTACCTAGGGGCACGAACGGAAGCTTGACGTAGAACCACTAGTCGACGGAACAAATTTGTTGAGCCTTTAATTCTTTTTGAATTGGTGGCCCTGAAAAGGGCTGGTTGTTTTTCAAATGGTGGCTCTGAAAAGGACCCCTTGTTGTTATTTCCTGGTGCCCATCGAAAGGGTTGCTGGATTGGGAGGGTACGGAACGAATTGGTACTAATCGCTGTTGCCTTTTGGCGCTCCTTTTATTTTGGCGCTTTTTGTTGATATTGCTGTTGTATTTGCTTCAGTGGATGAAGAACTAACACGAAATGCATAAACGTGCTACCAACTGACGTCTGCGGGAAGGTTTAGATACTCAATGACCCAAAGCTGATGGTGATTTTCCGAACACTGCTATTGAAATTAATTGATGATTATATGCTGTTATTTCTCTCCATGGTTAAAAAATATTTTAATTTTGTAAATCTGTTTTACTCACCATCTAGATCTAAGAAGAAATTCTATAACGTAGAAATATAGTGGCCCTGAAAAATGCCATTTGGGTTCCAAGAGATTTACATGCTGGTACTTTCGGGATGGCGTGCTTACACCATTGCACAGCGGTTTACATTTTGCAGGTGATCAATGTTGTAGTCAGCCTAACGGAACGACTGCAGTGGAACGTCCGAAAGAGGGTGAAGCTACTCAGAGAGCCTCAGAAGTCCGCGTCCTTCATGGTCCTACCAAATTTGTGGTGACCATCTCCGTCGCAAATAAAACTGCCATTTTGGATCGAAGCGAACAAAGTGGTGTACTTGGGTATCTCCAGGGACAGCATGCTCAGTTGGCTTTCCTGGCAGCAGAATCACGCAGGTGATCATTGTAGTCAAACTCAGCTGTGTAACGTTCGAAGGATGTCGTTGCCGTTGGTACTGCTTCTTATACCGATGTTCGCGTCCACTTTCTGGCTCTTTCAAATTAGTTGTGACGACTGTCCCCACAGCTAATGGAATTGCAACTGATCACGTTCACTGAATTACAGTCTGTTTTATACTTGAAGAATAGCTAATTAGGTCCCTCCCTTTTGGAGTATTTTTCATCAGAGCGTTCCTAGTTGCAATTATATGGCAGCATTCACACCAGACCAAGGCGTGCTCCGACCAGCATTGATTTGAATTGTTGTGAAAGAACAACTAGCTCTACTTGACTCTTTCACACCAGTGCAAGTCAGCCCAGTCATGCTGCCTATTGCGGGAAGCCTTTCCTCCGGTCCTGTGGGTGGATTTGTCGTCGTCTTTGTATTGGTGCGATGCGGGTTGTCCCACTCTTACGTCATGTCCGACGTTTATCCGTCCGTTGCATGAAAGCGAACGACGAAGAAAACTTTAACTTAAATTGATTATTATTTCTTTTGTTTGTAGTGGGATACCATGTTTGTTGTTTCAACTGATACAGAGGTATCGTTTCATCTCTAGTTGTTTGATTAATATAAAATTGTTAATTAAATTTCCTAGACCTATCAGACCTGTTTAGGGAATTACCACCTTAGTGGAATTGGTTTGGTTGACGAAGAAAACGATTTAGCAAGCATTTTTTTTATCGCTGCTTTTCTCCTCCCTTCCATTCATTGGTGAAATGGTGAGTGGTCAACCGCGCGGTGAGCTCGCTCACGTGAGCATGCGTGTCGTGTGTTCGATTTGCGCTCTATCATCACGTCAGTGTTTGAGATTGTTCGTTACATGTCTGAATTTCATTTTTTTTAATGTGACTCCAAGAATAGAAATTTAAGTCCTTCTTCAAAAAAAAAAAAAAAAAATTAAAGTCAAAGGTATCAAAAATATTTAAATAAAATTTTTTCAGATTTCCGCTCAAATATGATTACCGAAGTTATAAAGTTTTATAGAATATCAACAACTCATGACCAATAAGTGACCCACCGGTGAGTCACGACCCATAGATTGAAAACCGTTCCTTTTTGCGGAAGCGGATATTAAACATTGTGACAACTCTGCGCTACCATGTGGTTTCATTTCCTTCGTTGAGCTATTATTAACATTGTTTGAAAAATCTGAAACACACAGCTAAAAGTCAGCCTCCTTCTTTTCCAGGACTGCAACCGCTGCAAGTGCGCCGCCAACGGTATTGGCTGGTTCTGCACGCGCAGATCCTGCCCCCCGCGGGAGAAACGCTCAACCGATGCTGTGCAGCCAGCCTTCCAGTGCACCCCGGGATCATCGTTCAAGAGTGCCGATGGATGCAATGACTGTGTCTGCGGTCCAAGCGGTATCGCTGCTTGCACGATGAAGTTCTGCTTCTCCAATACCAAAACGAAACGGGACGTTGCTCAGCAGCCACCGCAGAACAAATGCGTTCCCGGAAGTTCGTTCAAGAGTGCCGATGGATGTAACGATTGCTTCTGCACGGATAATGGCATCGCAGCCTGCACGATGAAGTTCTGTTTCTTCAATCAACCAGCACCCAAGTCGAAACGCGAAGCAATGCTTCCGGAGAAGCAATGTGAACCAGGGATCAACTTCAAGCATGCCGATGGATGCAACGACTGCTTCTGTACGGAGACCGGTGTTGCCGCTTGCACGGCTAAACTCTGCTTTATGAACCCCAGAACGAAACGGCAAGTAGCAAAGGCAGATAAGCAATGTGTATCGGGTACTTCGTTTAAGAGCGCTGATGGATGCAACGATTGTTTCTGTGGTGACAATGGCATCGCTGCTTGTACGATGAAGTTCTGTTTCTTCGATGAACCGGTTGTCAATCGACAGAAGCGTGACGCAAGTGACAATGAAGAAAATTGCGTTCCTGGAACGCAGTTTTTGGACAAAGACGGATGCAACACGTGCTTCTGCACTGAAACTGGCCATGCGGCGTGTACGGAGAAGCTGTGCCTGACCAACCCACGCACCAGACGGTCGGCGGACAACGAAGAACTGCCCATTTCGGAAGTTGCTCCCGGTGCTCCAGGCTTCACGTGCAATCCAGGCAAGAGCTTCAAGTACCAATGCAATAACTGCCGGTGCGACACGGACGGACAGTCGGCGGCATGTACGTTCAAATTCTGTTTGCCAGGAGAGTACTAAAGTGTGAGGCGTCGTAAATCCAGTACGTTAAGATGATTTATTACCATTTGTTAAGATACCTCCTCGTTGTGTGCAGTTTGTGAAAAGCTATAAAGATGCTCTCTAGGAGAAGAGGACACCCAATAAAGTTTAGTTTTGTTACAACTCTCAGTTCATAACTATTCATGGTGTTGTTTCTGCATGTCTTTTCGGTTTTTCCGTTCGTTTGTTCGTGCAGTGTGACTTATTGCATTGTTTTGAGTTTGGCAGCGTTTTCTTGTAAACTGGAGCGGAAAGCAGATTAGACAAGTAAAAAGTTGTCGCAAAGTTGTCCTCTTATTTGCTTGTCTCCAATTCCGGAAAGATGAATGCAAGAAACATACAGTAGTGGGACAAAGTCAGCTGGCTCAATTCCTGTTTTCATTTTATTTTTAAATCAAGTGGGCAAGCACCTGGTGCAGAAATATTATTATATCAATTCAAACGAGCCGCGCTTCTATTGAAGCAGCAGACTATTTTTCAGCAATGTTTTTAGAATTGGCACGTTTCAGTTTCTGTAGATTTAGATTATGAGACTCTGTTCGGGGTTTGTAAAAGGAAGGGAGTTGAAAGTAGTTTGAAGTTGCTCTGGCGATTATGATTTTTCGGCGATTATTTGTCATTTGTTTGGAATGCATTGAAAGTTTATAATATCATGACAATCTGAAAGTTTATTTATCATGCATTATATATTTTCTTATGCCCTGAAAGTCTCTATAATAAAGAAATCAATCAATCAATCAATTTCTAATGTCACTCAATTTAGCAGCAAAATCGGGAAACGCCTGTGTGTGCGTGTGTTTGTGTGTGTGTTATTTATTTTTATACTAAGGATAAAATTTTCAAAAGCCTAGCCTAAGCGGGTTTTTTAACCACTAAAAAAACCTTACAGCAAGAGGCAGCTGGAGTCCCCCTGGATCCATCGTACTGTATTACTTGGAGGTGAGGAATGGGGGGTGAGGGTGGTGCGATTGAAATTCGTTGATTGTCTCTCTACTTCCGCTGCAGATTTGACGATATTTACCTTACAGTACTGTTGATGACAATCCTTGTGCCTTCGATATGCATTTCTTGTACAACTCAAATATATTGTATTAACAATATGAACCGTACTCTTTCATTTTCCCCAGCACACGACAACACTAGCGTCCTTGCGGCACTTTTCCCATAGCAATTCCCATATAAACTTCAAAAAGCCACTGCAGTATGAGTTCGTATCCAAATGAGCTTAAATTTTGGGAGAATTACCAGGACATGATTTGAAATCAATTGAGCTTGGTGGAGTACTGTTGTATATTTAAAAACATTCTACGTGTTGATGATCACTTCGGTAATGGTATGCATCTCCCTTCACACAGCCTCAAATCGTGGCAGATATGTGGCCAATACGACTGTGTCTAATCCAATTGTGTATTCTTGTTTTCAGTATAAGGTAATTAGAATCTTACTCGTGAGCTTCTGTACTAGGCACTCCGTTCGCAGAGGATGGAAGCACGCTCTATCAGCTAAAGACCAAGGACCCATCGGGGTTAACTATCCTATTTTTCCTACTATTACATACGCCTCAGCTGACACCGCTGGGAGGAAGCGATAGGAGCTACTGAACAAAAGGCTAATTACCACTTGTTTGGATCTAGTGTTTCCATTTCCCGGCCATTTCTGGCTACCCGGGAGTCGGGAAACAGGGAATTCCTGGAAATCTTGTAATATTTTATCCAGTGGCCGAATATATTCGATACTTATTCACTAGAATAACAACTTCTGTCGGTAGACTTATGAAGCATAAAACATATTTCAATACATTATAATTTTTTAATTTTTTCACCGGGAAATTTGCATGATTTCCTCCTTATGTTTCTCCTGATTCGCACTGGTTCTTCCGGAAGATTTTCAGACATCTTCTGGAACTTTATTCCAACTTGAACATTTTGAAGTTTCGTCCGACGTTGAACGGAAGGTTTTTTTTTCTACCGTGCCTTGAATGGAAGGTTCTATCTTTCTCCAAAATGTTTCTTCGAATGTTCTCCGGAAATTTTTTCCATCATTCAACGGAAGTTTATTCAAATTTTCGGATCCACCAGAATCTTTTGACTACGGAAGCGGAAATTATAGGGTGTTTCAGAAGGTATAGGCACACTTTCAACTCGCCGCCATCTCTGTTCATCGATGTATGTTGGTGTTTACTTATTGCTCAACAAGTTAAAATGCGAGATATTTCTCCGGAAAAGCGCAAACAGATCGTGCACAAATGGTGCACTATTCTCAACCTATCAGTAAGGAAGTTGGCGAAAATGTAGGATGTAAGTATCGGATTAGTCCAAACTGCCACCCGAAAGTTCGGTGAAGAAGTTATTTTCGAGGACACACCGAAATCTGGCCGTAAACCGGGACCGGTGGACCAAAAACTGGACCGGAAAATCATCCAAGATTCGTCAATGAGAAAAGTGCCTCTATTCAAGGTTTGGCCACCAAATTGAGAACATCGAAGAGAAACATCCAACGTACCAAGGAAAGTAACGGGCTGAAAACGTTCCAAAAGCAGAAGAAGCTGAAATGGCTCGGAAGTTAGGGGCTGTTCATTAACTACGTAGACATTTTTTTTTGATTCTTGACCCCCCTTCCCCCTGCGTAGACAATTGTCCATACAAATTTTTACAAATTTGTATGGCCCGATAATTCCCCCCTGTCTACGTAGTTTATGAACAGCCCCTTATATGATAGCCTGCCGTGTGGAAAATTAGCGTGTACGCACATAACATATCAGTGTCAACATTTCAAAGGGGCGTAATTGCTTTTGTAAACAATGGCTTTAACCGTCGATTTCTCGCAAATTAAAGCTCATCCCTCCAAATTAACAATGCTAGCTGGTAGAGGAAACATTCCTCTACTTGTTGGTTTTATTAATTTTCATATGTGATTGACTTACCCCTTCGAAGGATTAGTAATTTCCATCTAATTCCAATACCTTGGGGCTTATTACGGATGTCACTTCACGGTAAAAACTTATCACTTGTAGTCACGGTGAAGTGATTCCCATTTGATTTGTACGGCAATCACGGCTTTTATTCTGAGTGTCACTTCCTTATCACCATGTAGTGACACCCGCAATAAGGCCCCTTATTTGCTTATCATTGACAGATACGCGTATTTCGTCTAAAATGTGCAGAATTATTCAGACCTAGGACACATCAAAGAGCAAGTAGCGGAGTGCCTGCTGCTACAGGAAATTATATTTAAGATTATCTAGATTCTAAGCACAGGAGTGGAATTAAGGATCAAAAAGTGGCTCCACTTGTCATTTGCAAACACTAGCGCACCTAGCGGTAGAAAGCATCTTCTGCCTGCAGTTAAGATAGGCAGCATGCTATGATAGTGTGTGTGCACATAGAAAGCCCGTGTGGAACGCTACTACAACACATCGTTTGTTGAGCAGAAAAACGAACCATTTTTGATTCACCGATTTGCTTGCACTTCCCCTTCTGTTCTGTGTTCTAAGTGAAAACGTACCTAGGATAACATACATTCGGTAAAATGCGATGTTTTCTTCAGTCGAGTATTAGTACAAGACACTGAAGAAGTCTGCACATTGTAGACGAAATACGCGTATCTGTCAATCATAAGCAAATAAGGTAGTGGTTTTAGATGGAAATTACTAATCCTTCTCTTTCTCTCTTTAGACTTCTGTAGTTTGTTTTATGTGAGCTGCAGCATTATTTGAATTAAGAGTTCTAATGGGGTCTGATTAACTGCCTCTTTCTCTTGAGCCCACTCTAGAACCTACATTTCGTATTTAGATCTAAGAGTGAACTGCTGGTCTGAGCTTCTCTGGTATATTAAATTAGAGGATGTTCCTGAATATACTATACAGTCAAACAGCACGTAATGTTGTGAAGAACTTCAGTGACAGTTGTCCAGCAGTGGTCCCATTTTATTTACAACAATCCAATGGCTACGAGATTGTGCCGATGGATGTGCCCAAGCTGTGCCGAATATAATTTCGGCACAATGTGCTGTGTGACTTACTCCTTGAGTGACTCTCTCTCTGAGTTAAGTTACAAATTTAACGATATTGAAGTGTGCTTTGGCACGCAAAGCATATCCGACTGTTCAATTTTCGTTTTTATTTTCTGGAAATGTTTTTTTCATCTTGAAAACAACTTTAGTGCAGAGCAAGTGGAAGTGATCAGGTGAAATGTATTCCAAAGTGTAAATTCTGATTGGAGACAGATTGCTAGGCAGATTGTGCAAGAGTTTCTTTGAAGATCCTATGGTATGGTGTGAAATGTTGAGGTAGAATTAGGAGATGCAACGCAACAAGTTTTTGCTGCATGGGAAAAATATCGTTGATTAGTTCGTTCCTGTTTATTTATTCACCTGTTTCGGTACCTTTTATCAGATGTTTACATTGTCTTTTACAGTATTTTGAATAGCCGCTTTCGTGCTATAATTTGTTGCGAAATGTCCAGTGCGCTATTCTCAAAGGTTGGGAATGAGTGGGAGTGGCCAAGTTTCAGCACAGATTTTCAATTGATTAGCTGAGCAAAAGAGTCTTTCTAGTGCTTTCGGCTTTTAGAAGTTTGGTATCTTCAGTGATGATGATTTTCACTTGAAAGTTCCCATTTTTGTGATCATGATGGGTCTGAAGAACTAGTTTGAAAATGGCCCGGAAAAGTTTTGGAATAGCGTTTGGTTAACCATCAGTACAGAAGGGGAGTAGGGGTACCACATTATGAAATTGAATGGGATCTTTTCTTATTTTCATTTACATGTACTTAAATTTATAATGTATTCAGATCTCAACATTTCATACTCAGCGTTGGAAAATTTTGCGAGATTTTATGAAGCTCACAAAAGGAAAAGTTCACGAGTCATAGTGAGTTTACGCGAACTTTTCCTGTCCTACGTCCTTTTATTCCATTCTCTTTTCAGAAAGCAAGCAGTGGCGCTATAATCATAATCCATCTAGGGCTAGATCAAGAGTTAGTGCTCATGTTCCGAGTACGAGAGGAAAATGGAGCATCACTTAACATTTTTAGACAAGCTACTCCCAACGACCAATCATTCATAATTAACAATACAACGGAACGTACGATACGAGATGACCACGTTTCATCCATTCATTGGATTCTGAAGCATCGTGTTT